GAGTTCAAAATCTAAGTACCTTCACGGCAACGTTACTGAAACGTCGTAATTTAACCAATTTTGAACAAGCGTTCTCAGTATTGATATATATATTGATATTGATCCTTCATTTCAAANGTGACGATAATCAGCCCGTTTCCAAGCGTTGCTGAAATGGACAAAACCACGTTGATAAAAGTACTGATAATAAGCATGCTTTTTACAGAGTTGTAATTTTCTATGGCCGTCACTGCAAATATATTAGGGCAATTCAACAAAGATTCATTCATTGCGGCGACTCTCGATTTTGTAAGACTCCAATGAGGGGTATCAGGCTTAGCACTACATGTACTCCAAAAGCACTGGTCTGATGATCGGAAATAGTCAAGGAGGTTGTCAAGTCAATATAAAATCATGGAAGCATCCGCAAACTTACAAAATTCTCGTTTGACTTTTTTATTGGCTTGATTGAATCTTCTTTGTAATATTTCAGCAAAAACACGCCAGCAAGTTAAAAATCGATAAGAAAATGTAATACGTATATGACGGCTATGAGGATAAGAAAGTTGAGCTTTCGCTATTGATTGATGGACGTATTGGACTGATTTCTGAAAGTGGCGGTTTTTAACTCTGTCATTTTGTAAAAACCAGAGTATACCTTACCGTTTTTTAAAGTAACAAGTAGACATCCAAAAAGAAATGAAGAGTTCAAAATCTAAGTACCTTCACGGCAACGTTACTGAAACGTCGTAATTTAACCAATTTTGAACAAGCGTTCTCAGTATTGATATATATATTGATATTGATCCTTCATTTCAAAATATAAATTAAAAAAATAAAAAAAACGACAACTGCGAGGACTTCTTTATTAATTCCTCATTAGTTATGCATAGATTTCGAAGAATTTTCAAAATGTATTACAGTCTATTTACTTTGATCAGAAGATGTCTGCAATGTTTACCATAAAAAAAATAAATAAATAAAGCACGGATAGCCGTGAACAAAGGTAAAACCAGAACCAAAAAATGGAATCAGTTAAGTACCATACTCATGTAAAGATTACTTATAAAAGTAAAAGCATCGTTATAGAAAGCGGGTCTGCCATATATACTGTTAATTGTCAGTTTGTCATCTGCGTGTATTATTTTCTATGTCTTACATAACTTATCAGCAAAATCGCAATGATATGGTGCATGTATTGAGAAATAAAAGACATTTGATAAAAGCATGTCAGCATGTTGCTGACGCCTTACGTCAAGTAACCATCTCACACTGATAAAAGGCACTCAAGAATCAAAAGTACTGCTTTACCGACCATTTAAAGGGACACTGTCAATGGATGACATGCGGAGTAACAGTCTTGACTCTAACGGACTTTGAAAGTATTACCGTCGAGTTAAATTAATGTTTTGACACACTTTGGAATATTCTAGATCTGTTTATGTTTACGAGTACTTTTTTTGTCATGCGTCGCGCCAACTTGGAGTCGTAAACTTGAAAACATTAGCCTAATCGTTTCAAGTTTACTCGCGCATGCGTACCATTGACAGTGTCCCTTTAATAGAACAGGCACTTCCGTTTTCCGTTTTTCAAGTCTGTYAAGAAAATTGTATTTAAATTCAATCTGTATATATATAGTTTATTTCATGGAAAGTGCGATGCACGGGRTTTTATTCACGARTTGTTTGCATCATATGATGCAAAACAACGAGTGAATAAAATCCCGTACAAAGCACTTTCCATGCTATAAGTCGATATAAGCTGTTGCTCTGTACTTTAGTGGCTGCTTCCTGTACATGGATTACCTCCATGAGGATTATCACACTTCCGTGTTCTTGTACGAATTCCTGTACCACATATTACACTGCATCGACTCCATGAAGACCATACTCCCCAATTACCATTGATTTCTCTGATGTGGCCTAACCAAAAAAAAGCAAATCATAGCAATAACTGCATGCATGCATTACATTGGAAAATAGAATAGATAAATAAAAATAGATGAAATCAATAGTAATAGTAAGATAACCTTAATGGTACTCATTACCTTCCAAGAGGTAATAGAGTATTCCAAGATCGAAATGCATTGTTGGTCAATCTATCGTCGTTTAAAAAGGAGATTTCATATTGTAAGAGTGACTATATCAGCTTCATAYAGTCAAAAACGTCACGATAAACGTCACGGCTTTTGAGCCCCCCCTCGCGTAAAAAGCCAATAACTTTCGAACCAAGACAGCTAGAGCTCTGAAACTTTCGGGCTTTTCCTAAAATTTATCTGGGCAGATTTAGATGTAAATTTTTTGTTGATAACGTTATCCATGTCGCCATGGCAACCAGTTTTTGACACATAGGTTTTCAAAAATGTAAAATATGCTTAATTTTTCATTTTTAAAGCTTGTTTTATTATTTTGCATCTTTTACCTATTTGAGCTTGATCCCATTTCTGACTCTACAATACCATAATACTTTTTCGACAAAAAAACTTTGGGGGGAGGGGTGTGTAGTTTTCTGTCATTTTTTCACATGGGAGAAAATTTCATTAAAATCATCAGTAACACTTCGAAACTCACTTTTTTATTCATTAAATGTTAGTTTGAGAAGTATTTAAGACATTTTGAGCTCTTTTTTATATAGATATATAATTTATAAAAATTAACTGATATCTATGACGTCATTGTGACGTCATATAGAACAGGGGTCAATTAAAAAATACAAAAATATTATTTTCATGTCATTTCAATAATAAACAGATGATATTGCAGCATTCTCTATGGAATTGTAGGCAATTTATTAAAATGAATTATAAATTCCAGATAGTGCAACTTCACTTTCTGATAACAGTAAAAGTAAAGCCAGTAATGCCATGACTTGCWTTTTATTATCGCTACTGCGACGAATAAACTCGTAGAGACTCTTCGTTTAGATCGCTTTCCTAGTGTTAATGTCTGTAGGCGAAAATCAGCGATTGTTAATTACGTACAAAAAACCTGAAATTCTTCGTTCAATGTTCTGAACTTGAAGCGAACAAAAAGAGGTTCTTCAATTTAGCGTCTTTTTTTCCAATTTAGACGGTACCACTGTACATATCATACCTATTTGTTGCATTCGTTAGGTGGAAAACTATAGATAATATTTCTATCTTAAAATTGCTTATCATAATCCGCCACAGTATCTGATTGGGTTTATTGATTGCACGAATTCTCATAAGTCGTGTATTTATTCATTAATATAGGATCATGTTATTTCATAATCAAAAACGATATTTGTATAGTTTTAAATTATAATCATAAGTTCTCAGTCTTAGACTCTCATCATAGAACTTCACTAGGTCTCGAGGTAAAATTACTTATTTGCAGAGTCACACTACACTAAAACATAGACTAAAACATTGAACTGAAAGCACTGTTGCCGTCTTTCTTAAGCTATCCTTCTGTTCTCAATAGTTTTTTGATGAGAGGCGACAGATTTACACTATATAATAACTACAGTTTCTCATTTTTTATCTAATCATAAAAGCGACGCGATGACTGTTTCTATCAATTAAACCAACCAACCAACCAACTAGAAAGAAAGAAAAAAAAAACACACACACAAACAAATTGCCAATTAAAAATCCAATTGCAATGCTCATTCGCTCTAGAAATGTATATCTCAATTGTTTATGCTCCTATTGCATTCCTTATTCATATATCTGACCTAAAACGTATATACATATATAACGTACAATAAAAAGTAGAAAACCTAGTTACAAGTTGCGTGGATTTCTCTTCAATTTATTCTATTTATATATATATATTATATATTTAAGAAATATAAAACGGCGCGCGTGTCTCTGTCCTCTGATATAAACACGGTGGGAGTTCGAAAAACACGAGAGAAGCAAGCTTAGGAACACGAGCGTAGCGAGTGTTTCTCTTGCTTTTCGAGTGTTTTTCAACTCCCACCGTGTTTATATCAGAGGACAGAGACACAAGCGGCCGTTTTATATTTCTTTTATAAAATTTTTCGAGCGAAAAGACAATCTTGCCGGTAAGCCGTGTCTCTGTCCACTGATATAAACACGGTCGTCAGCCAATCAGAGCGCGCGTTATACATCAAAAATTTTATAAATATATATATTTGTGTGCTTACTAGAGTGAAGCTAAAAATCCAGCGAGATATATAGATATTACGCTAATAAAACAACAGTGTAGTCGAATCGATAGCATTACATGCTGTTATAATTGCCAGCAGAATTTTGCTGTCGGAAAAACAAATTATCGGCTAGGAACTGTATTTGAAAAACAGACACGCACAAAAAATTGTAGCATCGAAGGGCTACTTCAAAGATAAAAATCATTAAAGTCAAACATTAAAGTTAAAAGTCGTATGCAAATCAGGACAAATCTCTTGCTCATAATAAAGATGCCGTCATATGTACAACAATGATTTTCCMTTGTGTTTACTTTATAATTTATTAACCAGTTTGATAAGAAACACCGAAAAACTATGACCGCGCTCCTACTGGGAGAAATACAGTACTTACCCGCTTATAAGAACCTGTTAGCCAAAAAATGTCAATTAAGACTCCATTTACATAAGAACCTATTTAGCCTAAAATTTGAACCAGGTTCTTATAGAAATTAACCTRAAAAATGTTAAGTATTGTATTCCATTGCGGGGGAAAGTTTTTTTCGTATTGAAATATAGCATTTCTTGACATTTCCATAATTTTTAAGCAGAAACTCTGTTCCAAAAATATCCCCATAAGGTGGTGATTATCAACACACACAAAAGACATATCAGATTGCCTGACATTCGCGCGGRCTAYCTGTGTYTTTTGTGGGATTCCTTATTKTCAAGGATGGGAGGKGACTAGGACAAAATTATAAYGGCCGACATGTTGWAAAGCGATTTCTCTGCAAATTCTGTAAGTTTTAGCCATTTTAAAGCACTAAAAGGTGAAAAAACTTGAACTTTCTAGCGTACTTCCTTACAAGGTAATACTACCATATATGGTCAGCAAAAGTTTGGCAAACGAATGAATTTTTCTCCGAAGCAATTGTTTAATATGAAAAATAATGAATTTAAACGGACAAACAAATACAGCAATGAAACAAAGAAGTTTTGAAAAAATTGAAGAGCATGATACAAGAAAAGTTTTGGGCCAAAAATTGAGACTTGGTTGTGAATGACTTGCGACTGATCGCAAAATGGAACAAAACRAGAATATTTAATTGACATACTTTATCGACCAATATACGGGCGAGATAAGACAAAGTAAAATGYCATATTTAAAGAGCTAATAACATAAGTTCAATTCATTCTTTTGATCATTTAACAGGAAAAAGAGTTTTGGTGTTATGCGATCCCAACAGCCAGCAAGAACATTGGAATGTATACTCCTTGCCTCGCTTGTCATCTATAACTGTTATCTAGAAATACACAAATAAAAAAAATACATATATAAATAACAAAAGTAAATAAAGTAATATGTACAGGTAAATCGAAGAGACAGACTTTAATTAATGGGAAACCCTTTCTATCGAATTAGATTCATTTGAAGAGATAAATCTCAGGGATCGCGGGACATATTTTTGGTTGATGGGGCTAAAAACCACCAATGGCTGTATAAAGTAGAGGCGCCGATGAATTATTGAAATTTTAAAAATGTGACTTCCATCATTTTGATGGAATTCGAGAATAAATCTTATGCAGTGAGTCTATACATAAAAATGATATTACTTGACTCTGCCAAAAGGTATCAGTATATAGGGACTTTACATTTTCTTGATTTCCWAAACCTATTTGGGAATACGATGTGACTAAAAAGTGTAGCAATGACTTCGTAGTCACTCCTTAAAACAAAGGAATTGTCTTTATATTAYTGTGGGCGAGAAGTCAACGAAAGTGTTAAAGAGAAATGGTAGACCAAAATCCCTTTCCATCTTTAGTTTTAGTTTGAAAATACATCATGATTATAAGCTGAATGCAGATGATGTATAAAGTTCGAGCAACGCCGTTGTGGACTGGAAAAGGATTGCGAATGAGGTCATCTTATTTTCCATATATAAAAAATGTAAAAAGACGACCGCATTGAATGCCGTTTGACCATGTCCCTTTAAAGACATCAGAGATTGAAAGAGAACAAGTTTACCTTATTCAAGAACCAAGCTGGTCCGGTGCCTTTGTTGTTATGTCTAACGGTCATTTTGGTTAGAAGTCCTAGATCGGGCGAGATGATGTTGAACTTGTCCTCGCTAAATATAAATAGATAATTTATACAATAAATTTTGAGTCATATACCTTTTTCAACATCAATTTAACTGCTCCGTCTGACCATGACTAAGTTACTCAGAAAAAAAGAAACTAAAGCATATTAAATTACACCCTACTTTCTTTAACGTTCCCTAATCTACCAATAAAGGATGCGCACTCATTGTTGTTGTTGTTGTTGTTGTTGTCGTAGTTGTTGATGTTTACTACAGGGTGTGTCTGATACATCGTCAAAAAATTATGACATGTACAGGAGCAACTGAAATATTTTCAGTTATTCAAGATCAGCAATCTCAGACGCTGATTGTAATTTAATCATATTATCTATAACTACTATATAACTGATTGTAAAATGTAATCATATTCAAAGTGAAGATGCCTTTATGAAAGTCGAAACATGTCTTTGAAATTTAAAAGTGTTGTGTTACGTCATTTTTAAAAATTCTTCCTTTTATTTTAGTCCTTTTATCAAATTTTTATTTGTATATCCGTCACCCATGCTGCAATGRCAACCAGTTTTTGACATATACGTTTTCAAAAAAGTACAGTATGCTCTATTTTTCGTTTTTAAGGCTTTTTATTGTTTTATTATGCATTATCTACCTATTTGAAATTGGTCCCATTGCTGACCCTACAATACCATACAATACTTTTATAACAGCAAACATTTGGCGGAGGGGGGTAGTTTTTGTTCATTTTTCAAATCGGAGACACTTTCTTTAAAATCATCAGTAACACTACGAGACTCAATTTTTTCGCGAAATGTTAGTGAAGTATTTTAGACATTTTGACCTATTACCCTCAATGATGAAATTCGAAAAAATCCAAGATGGCGGATCCAAGATGGYGGATCCTTTTAATAGGCTTCAGTTCAGTCCTTTTATCAAATTTTATATTTGTWTATCCGCAATTCAGCCTCTGGCTGTAAGGGTTTTTGAAGACACCGATGATTAAGCTTGTTTACGCTGACCCAGTGAATATTTTTTTCCTTATAATTAATTGTAGAAATGAATTGTAGAAAAGAGACTGTCACATCTCTTCCCGGTTACATGATACAATCTCAAAGAATCAAGAATAATCAATAAACGATTTTAGCTTCTTGGTGCATACAGCTGAATAGATTATCATTTTCACTAAAGAGCAGCTGTAGAGTCATTACAAAATGCCTCTGGCTTAGACATAACATAGAGAGTAAAACTAGAGAGCAGATGTGAACCAAAAAGGGCAATATTCGTCTTGAAGCTTGCTTTTCACACACCTCCTGCTGTTTCGGTTTTTTGGAGGCTTTATATCACTGCACTTAAATCGGTCTACAAAATATCACATATGTTCTTTGTACATTGATATACTTCTCTCAATAGCTAGCTMTAATAGTCTATTAACAAGGCGAAAAGGACATGTGAAGTGACATGCACTTATACTTTCTTTTCAAGTCGCAAGTGTTTTCGATGTCAAGCAGAAGTAATAGGAAATAAGTGMAAACAGCCATTTCTAACTTATCTTTTTCTTGATGTAAAACTTAAAGCTTGTCACTTGAAAAGCAACTCAATGTCGACAAGCGCCGTTTTGCTGAGCAAGCCACAGATCAATATGAACTTAACTGAAAATTGCCCTGATCTCTTCGTGGCCGCTGTTTTAAAGAAATACGACTTTTTCAAAAATATCCTTATCGCCAGTATTATCATCAACGTGGTTTTGTCCATTTTAGCAACGCTTGGAAACGGGCTGATTATCGTCACAATTCTGAAATCCAGGAACCTCCAAACACCGTCGTACCTATTGATAACAAGTTTGGCGTTCACYGATCTTCTTGTCGGATTGGTTTACCACCCGTACTATGCATTTGTTCAAGGTCTGATTCTTCACAAAAACGTAGASCCATTATGCCGAGACTTTTTCCTTTTGAAWGCCATTACCCAATTGATCATTTACTTTGCTGTTGTTTCATTCGTCATGAATGCGACCATCAGTATCGACAGATATCTAGCGCTGACCTTAAGACACCGATACAGAATCGTGGTAACCAAGAAGCGAGTTCGAATCGSGATAGTTGSCTGTTGGCTTGGAACTGGCATAGGTTACATGACTCTCAGAATGCTCTCCAGTCTCATTCCAAGTGTAAATTACATTTCGTTAGYTCTTGCWAGTGCAGTGCCGATTTTAGCCACCATTTTTTACATTTTGTCTTTTAAGAAACTTTATCKTTACACTTCACAAATCAACCCTCATCAACCCAACTGGCTAYATAATAACTTTGATGTTGTGAAATATAAAAAAACATTGCAGACAATGGCCGCAATCTTGGKATGTTTTCTTTTRTTTTCCAGTGGCTTAATTTCAGTTTATGTTTCACGCGCTATTTACGGCTTCACAGACATGACAATTAAAATACTTCTAGCTTGYACTGTGGTAGTTGGAATAAAMTCGAGCATCAATCCAGTTATCTTTCTGACAAGGTTCAAAGATATTCGCGAAGAATGCAAAGAGATGATAATGAACGGTGTCGTTTACCTTCAAACTACACAAGAAATAGATAYAGCCTTAGCGGAACTTTAATGACAAGTTCTGAATCCCAACCGAAAAGCAAGTGAGCCAGTATGGGTTGGAGGAGACGATAAGAGGTGAGGTTTAAAACATGGTCAGCTAAAGCTAATCTAGGAAGTACAATGGCTATTGATGCTGATCTACATAGATAAAAAAAGAAAACCACAGAAAAACTGTTGGTAAAGAAAATGCTTATAAGAATAATCGTCTAGCATGTAGTTAGAGATTTTTTCGAGTATATATAACTCATCAACGATGACAGATTTTCTAGTGCTGAATAAATATAGGGACTACGAGTATATTGTTGGTTAGAAAAGGACACAAGGAGCATAAGAAAACTGAAAAACAATTAAACGTATAGAAAACAACAAGCTTTTTATGTAACTATCAGGGGTAGAAGTTTTCGAGAATAYAAAACAATTGTTTAAGGGATATATTTAAACTAAATTTCAAATTTGCGCCTAAACTAGTAAAATAATGACAAATGTCTATAGACAAATGTCTATAAGACCGTAACTCATTTTCTCTTACATACTGAACTGTACTACATTTCCCATTATTCAGTGTGAGTTTGCTATAGCAACAAGCTGGTCAARTATTTTGGCTAAACCACGCAGGACATTATATTTRTCTCAAGTCTTAATGGAAATATAGTTTGAAAGTGTCGTTTGCGAAAAGGAAGCATTTGTATAATACAGACTTATGCAGGGGCCRCGGAGACGGGGGGGCTGTGGGGTCTGCGACTCCCCCACTTTTTGCTTCCGAAAATTTAATAATAAATGAAATCGACAAGATTAAAATAAAACATACAAAAATTCGATGATCATAGCTCGACTATACTGTGACTACATCAATTTGGAAACGTTGAAGAGTCAACTTCGCATTCCTCCGGCGGGCCCCCCTATAAAAATCGCGCCTTAATACTAAGATTCGTCTGTAGCAATGGTCAATGTTTGTGAGAAGTGAAATATTATAATAAACAGGAAATATTATACGTAAATTCATTGGGTGACGAGTGAATTCCGCGTTGAATTCACGAGTAAAGCCGATATCGCACGAATGGCGAAGCGATTATCTCGATTAGAAATATCATCTATGAAGTAAAGACTTCGAAAGGTTGTTACTGAAAAATTGTAAACAAGTTTAAAATCATATTTTGAGTCTTATTTGGAAGAACGAAACTCGTTGAAGTCAGTAGCCCTGACTTGCCAAGCAGACTTCAAAACCTACTTCATGTTTACTTGTGAAAGAAAGCGTACTAGTAGACATTCTCAATCAAAAAGTAGATGAAAAACTCAAACACAGAAACATTTCATAAATTCATCCCATAACTTGTTCTGGCATGGAATATTCAAGAAAAAATGACAAGCGAAACAGCTCATAGTTTTCTGCAAGAAAAGGGGAAGGCCGCTCAACTCCCCGCTATCTTCATTTTTGTTGACGTAGATGAACTTAGGCTCAGTCTCCAGCCGTCGGGATTTCGTGCGCCCGCGATACTCTCTCCCCTGACGGCTGGGCGCATRGGGTTCGAAACGTGTCGCGCATGTCCGTGACGTTTTTGTGTAATTAGCATATTATGAATAACGGAAGTGAATTTTTAAGTGAACGGAAGTGAAATATCTGAAAAAGGTTTTGCTACAAGGCGGGAAATTATGTGAAATGAAAACTTCGCGAAGTGGCGATATAATGTAATAGTTAGCGCTTTAAAAAAGAGAAAGGAATGGAAATTACCCCAAGTAAAACATGTGTAGGGTTTAATAATCCAAATAGATATATTATGTGCCAGAAAGACGAGCAAAATACACTAGTGGCGCTGTTTGAAAAATAAGAGATTTGCCCGAGCCAGTAGGAAGAATAACAAGGACATCTTTTCCAAGAACAATCTCTTTAAGAGCCTTTTGCTGTATTTCTATAAATTCGTCCAAGCTGAACGACTTCAGAGCGTTCGAACGAGAATCTCAAACGACGAATTGTAGGCCATTTTGTTACACTGCGACGACAGCTGCCTGCTAATTTATTAATGATATGCCCCTGAAAATATCGGGGGCCACTCSCTGATTGGTCGAAACTGACAATAGCGAACCCCATGCGCCCAGCCGTCAGGGGAGAGAGTATCGCGGGCGCACGAAATCCCGACGGCTGGAGACTGAGCCTAAGATGAACTGAGCTCGACAAACTTTAAAATGTATTACACTACCATGCAGGTATTTAATAGATGGTATTTTAATAATTGTGACGTTATGTTTATGAGTTTTGGGGTATTTTTTCGTTTGAAAACGGTGCTTTTATCGAGTCATATTTAAACTTAAATGTGTTTTTGTTTTTGCTACTAAATTTGCAAAAAATGAAAATATTTTGCTTCTTGAAATCTAGAGAAAGTGAATAGACAAATTGTTGGGAACTAAAACAGTTAGATAATAACTTTTGCCAGGGTTTTACATTGATTTTGTGAGTAAATTGTTGAAATAACGCATTAAGTGTTTTGAAGGTAGCTTATCGGGGCGTTGAATTCAGGTTTCTCAGCGTTGAATTCAGGTTTCTCACCGTTGAATTCCACTTGAAATACCCTCTCATCCGGTTGACGTGTTGACCAATCAACGCACGACTTCAAAATTGAGGTATGAGATTCTATAATAAACTATCTATTAAAAAGTATTTACTACCACGAGCACACTAGGAGAGGTTTCTTTCGACATTATGAAATCCCGATGATTTCTCGCTCATGATCTACATTAAGTTTACTTTCCTTTTTGATAATCCAATAAAAGGAGTATATATATATATATATATCTGTAGACAGTTTTGTTCATATGTGGGAGGAAATCATGGAGGCAGCGCAAGATTCCTCAAAGTGCGATCTGGAAGAATTATGTTTCCGATGATTCACACGAAACATCAAACGATTTCCTTGAAGGAAACGTACACATAGGAAAAGATGCTGGTTCACATGACCATCGACAAGATGAAATTCCCGGCTCTACTTCGCCACAGCGAGAAAGAGCACCTCAAACATCGCCAAAGCAGACGCCATCGTTGCCAATATGAAAAAAGAACATCAAGGTTCTGATGTGTCTGTACATCGAACAATGCTAAATTCGAAACTACTGTTGTTGCATTTCGAATATATTATACATATTTGTTAGATGGGACTTTGATTTCTCCGTGAACCAATTGCTATCAACAAATTTTTTACATGTTTTTGGAAACTCATTTACAGGAAACCAATGGAGATCGATCGACCTCCTGCATATCAGAGAATTGTCCCACAAAAGTTGTCCTTCGTTTAGCAGCCATTTATGGTAATCTTACCTTATTTGGAAGTACGATAGGAATGTTTTTTGTCGATTTTCTCGACTTTCAAAGCTTGAAATCGTCTAAAACTTGCAGATATTATACCGAAAGCACTTTTCAACAATCGGCCATTTTGTTTGTTTTCATATATGACATGGATTCGCTAAAGGAAGCCCAAAACTAAAAAGCACAGGGAACCCGCACGAATGACATTTCTTTGATATGAGATGTTATCATYATCCATCTTTCATACTTCTAGTGCAATATTTTGTAACTTTCACACCTACTTCTCCTAGTCCTGTTGTGTTAACATCAAACGATAGAGTCACAAAGACTCTGCCTTCTTAAAATCAACCTGAAACCTCTGATCCAAACTATTGCTCTGTTTAGATTAGTCCACGAGAGCAAGTGTACTACGAGTTGATAGCCCTGAATCCTTAATCAGTTTTTATTGTCAAAAGGAAAACTATCAAACAAATCGTAGTCCTCTCATCACTTGTAAAATTGTTTTTAGGAAACACTACACTAGGTCAAAAGTGGAGTTATAAAAAAACAGCTTTCCTGATCTTCTTTTCGATTTCGATTTTCTTATGAAACAACCATGAACTAAGATAAATATAGTCTTTAATTCAATAGCCAATCAGAGTTCTATATTTGTGACAGCCCAAAGTTTGAGGGATGGTTGCTAAAGATTGATATTCGACTTGAAAAGAAAATACAACCATATCCCCATTTTCTTAAAGACGAAAGCAAGTTGTAAATACCTTCCACTTTCAAAATGTCCTTCTTTCGAGAGTAGCTGTACCTCTCCTGAGTTCACATCATGGKCTCCATGGTTACCATACAATTCCACAAATACTTTAGCATCAGTGCCCGCGAACACATCATCACCAGTGTAAGCGGTCAAATGATAATTGTCAACTGATCAAGAGGAAATGGAAAAAAGATTAACAAGTAGAACAAAAAAAATATTTTTTTAGGGTGAAAGGGAGGTGGGAATTGACAAGTTAAGAACGACTTTGGTTCAAAGCTCTCAATTTCAAGACTTATATATACCTATTTCGAGAAAGGTTGTCACTGGTAAAATGGCGAATGTCAATATTGTCGAACCGCGGTTGCACGACCGAAAGTGAGCATATGTTTTGCTAATTGATGAAAATTAACCAATGATTATATTTGAATCACTTTAATATTCCTTGTGAGTCACTAGTTATTTCTGAATGCCTAAAACATGACCTTCATTGCAATATGAAAAACATCAARCGAATTTCCTTTTTTATCGAAATATTTTCGCAATTGCTTATTAAAAATCCATTAYTGAATTATATTATTTTTGTCTTTGGAAAATTCTCAGTCTCATTCAACTAGCCGTTCCTTACATTTATTAGATACCCACCTTGCATTGCGGCCTGCGGACATCTGTACAGCCGGTTAACCTGCATGAYATCAATAGCTGACAGCGAACTCACAGAACCCAGCGTCATGTTAGCATCTTGTATAGCTTCGATTGTATTTTGACCATTTTTACTGAATTCTTTTCGATGGTAATGCATGATAGACCGGAAGTCGTACGGTTGACCCAAACTCGTCAGCTCACTAGATGAACGCATTTTGAACTGTGCTTCGTMACCTAGGAAACAGTATGGAAATGAGTAAAAATAACACATTCTATGTTTCTCTATATATAAGTGAAAGTAAGAAAAATAAAGGTGTTTTACGACACAATTTGCTCTCATATGTAGTTATATAATAAACAGAATAGTACATGGTTACTTGGAGATAAWAGCTTTCTGTTCTCGCGCCCATGTAATATCCTCTATATATCACATTGCATCTTGTATACGTATTATGTTGATCTCTGACAATAGTTGCCTGAGATAACACAGAGTTTGCCGACAATAAAACGCGACGAAACGACAGCCATCTCTCTTTCTACAATGTACTCTCTGAGATTCTTAAAGGGACATGGACCACCAGCATTCGATCGGAAGTGTCTTAGATTTTTTCATATATGGAAAATGAAGTAACTTGGAATATCYATTCGCAATTCGTTTCCACTCAGCTCTTTAAGGTCGAACCTTACAGTGTCTCCATTCATATAGTATAAAGGATACTAACGATACGTTTTTGCTTATATTGCACTCTGTTTTTTTTAATTATTGTCAAACATTAGCAAAAGCTCCAAAGGGATGCTGGTGGACCATGGTATAGTTTAAACCACGACTTCCAGTGTAAAATAAAGGCGTTACCGCATGTCATATACTCCTGTTACGGCTCGGGATTCCTGTGTCATTAGGCCCGCAAGGGTTTTGTTGGGAAAAACTATCGTTGTCATGTTTTGACTCTTGTTATGCTCAATAAAAGAGAGAAATTTACAGTGTAGTTTTGTACGAATTACACTCCAAATATGTTTCGTTAGAGTGATTATCAAACTAGYTTCTGGAGGCAGGTTAGAGTTTCATTGCAGCGGAAATCGGTGCATCGCGACTACTTCGTTTTGAAGTTTGTTTTGATTTGTTCTTTCCTTTGGTCTGARGGTCGGAGATTTTTTTAAACTCGTTCACTCGTTCACTCCAGTCATTGACTGGTTTGTATCAAGCTCCGCCCCCAACTCGCAGAAAACACACATTCCACTAACGATTTCCTTTGAACAGTGAAGTCGTGATGCAACGGTTTCTTCTGTAATGTAACCAATCAATCTGGTTACAAGCTACACATGCSGATTGGTTTTCATGATATGACGCAGTATTGTACTCATATTTCTATGTTTTCATTTCGAKATTGTTGAATAGAAATTATATAAGTTTTGTATATATAAAATTCGTTTTTACTTGAGCTGAAAGGTTAAAGAGTCAGGCAGTTGCATAGGTACAATGTGAAGCTATATTCATCCTTTTACGTTTGGATTGACGTATGTGACAAAGTAGCAAATTATACAGTCTCGAGGGGACGTATTGCGGCTGTCATAAGTGTTTGTCAATTGCAATTGTTACAGACTTACTAACTTACTTCTTTTACAGCACGTTGACATGGTGGTTACCAGTCTTAAGACGGGAGTAACCAATAAATCAATATTCAGTCGTACCTTTTTTGATATTATTCCATAGTATCTTTACATAGTTATCTCTATCTGGYCTTGTGTGTTCGTGGTAAAATCCCAGCGAGTGCATAATTTCGTGTGTCACGTGACCTGGGTTTCTGCAGCCATTTCCAAGAGATATGGTCTGCTTACCTCCTATGCGACCAATTTCCGATTCACAGTAATTACTGTCAATCAAAATGAATGAATATTAGTAAAAACATGACAAGCTATCCGGCCATGAACTGTTCGCGCTCTAATGTCCCGTCACACGAAGACTAGATTTTTCGTGCGTGTCTAAAATTAWGTCATTGTGAATACGGGTCTCGTTCACATATTCCAGGAAGTACTAAAAAAAAACGTTCTAAATATTGGATATGTTTGAAAATGCAAATCACTTCAAAACGACACATAGCGAGATTTGGGTTTCCTGTTTCAATTTGTACAACAAAGCATTATGAGAAATGTGGCTCACGCACTATCCATAAGTRCTAAACGGATATCATTTTTATGTTTTATTTGTAGAAACAGCACAACGTACTAACGAAAAAGCAGAACATACGGCTAACGAGGACTGTTTTTTTCAGTCTTTTTTCGAGAGTAGTAAGAGAAACTACTTGCTACGCTCGTGTTTCTAAGCTTTCTTCTCTCGTGTTTTTCAACTCCCACCGAGTTTATATTAGAGGACAGAGGAACGCRCGCCGTTTTATATTTCTTAAAGAGAGTTTTAAATTTACGTTTACTGCAAACGCCAAAAGTCAAATTGCCTTTTATGATTTGTCTCAAAGTTTCAAACAAACGTAAAAACGTTTTGAAAGGGATAGTGATGCGCTTATGTACGAAAAAGTGATCTATACTATTTTATACACAATCGCGAAAGAACGGAGCGTCAATACAGAAAAACAGGGATCACGTGATCAGTTTTGACGTTTGGCGTTCGCCGTAAACGCGTATCTAAAACTCTCTTAGCTCATTGCCTGCAGTAATTATGAGCGTACTTTTCATCTTTATAAAACTCTATGTAGTCACGCTGTTTCTTTCTCGGCGCAAAGCGAATACACGTRTGTTCTTCGATAACTGACATTGCTTCGCGAATATTGCTTTCATCACTAGTGCCTGCAATTAAAGGAATAAMGAGCTCTCGTAAAGTTACATATATATCTACCTGCATGCAAATCAAGGAGAGCAATCATATCTTTTATAATTTGAGAGAATGTTCTCGGTATTTTTTAGGACTTCTCGTCAATAGTTTTCAAGACTGAGTTTAGACGTTGTTTAGTCTCTAAAACAGAAAGACAAAATGTAAAATYCTACATCCCCCTCCCCCACCCCTACCCCTCCCTCTATTCTCAATTTTTGTAGTGCGATAGTCGTGCGGCAATCACTACTTTGCTATTTGCTCTCGCGCACCTCAAATCGTGCGTGTAAACAGCCCTGCGATTGTCGCGGCGATGGTGGTCTTATAGGAGGGTTTGTCACACATGAAACTACATGTAACTACAATACTCAAAATAGTCTAAGATTCGAATGTAAACATATCGAAAAGTACAAGCTCTTAAGAAATTTGATTCATTTATAAACTTTAATTACAAATAACAAATAAATCAAGTTCTCTTAAGTAAAAATTGAAACAACTTATATAGTTCTGTTAACCTTACCAAGACCGCTCCACCACCATCCTTTCTTTACCGTATAAGGTATATTGACGCTCTCAACTTTGTAKTTGTAATCAATTACCGCTGGCCATAAACGTCTTAAGCGTGTAACCGCATCCCTCTTGGAAATCACATGGTCTATTGAACAATGAAGAAAAAAAAGGTGGTATAAAACCATTTGTTTTTACCCTGAAACCAAACCAACAGCGTCAAAAAAACTTTAATGCGTGCAGCTAAAACGTCCAGCTTAGTCTCCTTCTCAGCCTACCCTTTTGTCGGGCTTCCTAAGACAGGAAGCCCGACAAAAGGGAAGGCTGCGAAGGAGACTATGTCCAACTTGTCTCGCATTATTGCTGCAAAACAAGTTGGAAAGAGATTATGGAGTTGGGATTATGCGCTTTTTACTCCCGGCGAACCAAAGATAATTTGTTGCAGGTTGAGCAAATCCTTATAAATAGCTCAAATGCAGTCACCTGATTATTGCACGATGTCATTTTGCTGCGAGACAAGTTGGGTTGTTGTAGTAATACCCGCAACATCGACGGATTTTGCTTCAAAAAGTAGAAAGTTCTTTTTATAAGCTACGATAATACGAGCAACAAAGTCGTCCAGATTGTCTCGCAACATTGATGCAAAACAAGTTGGAAAGCGATGTTGCTCGTTTTATTACGCGCGTACCAACTTGTCTCGCGACAAAATTGCTTGTTGCAAGTGGAGAACATTTCTTGCTGAAAGTAGAAGATGGTTCTACTTTTTGCAACAAAACTCGAAGATGTTGCCAGTTTTACTGTAACAACCCAGCTTGTCTCGCAGCAAAGTGATGTCGCGCGACAAATATATTGCTGCGATACAAGTTGGTTCGCTGGTACTGACACGCAGCATCCCTTTCCAACTTGCTTTGCAGAAATGTGGTGACACAATTTGATCGATTTGCTGCTCGTATTACCGTAAGAAAACTAAGTGCAACAACGGTTGATGTGATTCCGTCCCTTATAAGGAATAAAAGAGGCATTAGATAGTCTAAATCTATTTCGATCACGTGTTTCTGAATATAGAGACAAATTGTTTAAACAAAAATAAAGCTAATGGAGCGTGTTTTGTTTTATTGCTCGTTTCTGTTGAGTTTTGTCATCAGAAGCAAATAACAGCAACTGAAGATCTGGATGAGTAAAATTCAGATGTATACGTATTAAGCAAGAAATTATTTCCTGTTTTGAATATAGGACTCTTGTGACAAGAAAATGTCGGGAAAGAAAAGATACATGGACGAGAGTAAGCGAGGAAAGACAAAAGGAAAACTTGGGAAAGACCTGGCAATGAATTCACGCTACCATTTGTAACATGAAGAATATAAAGCTGACTGTCACGGACGTCACGCAGAACTATAGTCGCGTAACGGTACGTATATTCGTTAGTTCGTCCTTGACATCATGGGATCGAATTAGGTATGCTCATTGAATTAATTAATAAATCTTATCAATTACTTATCAATTGCTCAATTATATGTATGATCATTATCTACATATCTACATTTTTATTTAATTCAGTTGAACGGAGGTCACAGATCTTTATTTTATCATATTATGCCCACGCAATTTTGACAATCGAGCTACTGTAGTCGACTAGCTGTATATAAGTATGTTTTGAACAGCGTAACCATCAAAAATATAATTTCAATCCAAAAAGAATTCATAAAGTAAGAATCAAAATCAACTGCTTCTATAAAAGATAACGTTTTATAATATTGTAGCAGTTTACTAACTCTGATTGTAGCTTGAAGCTGTCTTGGTTTCTTGTGCAAAATGTTAGTCTATAGTAAGCTCTTCTCGAAGGAAAGTTCGTCAAATGTAAATCCTTACAACATTGTCAGAATTGATCACACGTTTCATAATATCACTTATCATCAAATTAAAGACATTATATAACGCATCATTGATGAAATATGCTTTTGAAGTTTTGATAGAATCTCGACTGTCTGTCAATGATGTTAAGCGTSGATAAGCCATAACATTGAATTCAAAACAACCATGACTGAATTTATCAAAAAAAACTTCGAATTCAACAATAAAAGCTCACTGTCTTACCTTTTTTAACTGATCTACCTTCAATATTTGCTACCAAAGAGAATGTTAATAAAAGCAGAATCCCMGAAAACATGTTGACTGTTCGCAGAAGATCGTTTAATAGTTTTGGCGCGCGCGTGTCCAAAATAGGTTACGCATGATTAACTGTAATCTGATGCCGTTGGAAAATCGGTTTTTTTTACAATATATCCTTTGAAATTAGACCACGAAATCGCGTGGAATAGGAGATGCCTATACAGTTTCTGGAGTCTCACTGAAATGAGGCTCTCATTCAATTTATGCGTTTTATTTTTAAGGCCGTCCCGCATCAAGCACCCTGTCATAATACCATTTCTTCAGGAATAAACGGGGATTTAGAAAGCCGTCCCTAACTAGAGCAGTGTCCTCTGACGACGAGATCACAGGACCGCTGAAATCAGGAAAAAAGTTTGGGCACACATGCATAAAAAAACATTTCAATTTTGCATCCATACTTTTATCACTGTTTTAGAATTGCCATCTATTTGTTGCCTGGGGGTCCAAATGGGAAGTGTAGTTATAGATCCTTAACTCGACTTTAATGCAAAAACTAGTTGTCATAAAAAAAAATAAAATTTTGTACTTGATAGCAAAAAGTGATATAAATATTAAAAAARATTACTGAGGATGAACGTTTTCTGACTTTTCTTTTGTCTACTATAGTATTATTTATCGTGATGCTCCGATCTATTTCCCTATTTATACTCTAAAGTCATATTTACTAGATGGAGACAGTCTCCCTCTACGCTAAAATAAAAGTATGCTAAAATAGAAGTCATAATGAATGCATAGCTATTGCTAGCACTACCTGTGTTGAAATTCTCCCTCCCCACCCGTCCTAGGTCATACCGAAACCATGTGTCGTTGAGCCGTCAGGTGACCACGTGGAGTCACGGTGTTCTAGTTCAACAGGTACTTAAGCGTTATTATATCTACACACTAGAAAACTACAGGGATACTCGCTCTCAATTTATTGCTAACAAGTCAGCCAATAGAGAGAAACAGCGCTGTTAGGATAACAAGAACTCAGTCTTGGGAAATCTGTGAAATCGCGATCTACTATAGAGGTATTTGTTGCCTTGTCAAGAGATAATTTACAAGCACACTTCAGAACGAAAGCAAAACAACAAAAACGAGGCACGACCATTGTGGAATATTCATCTGAAATTGAAAAAGAAAACTGTGTCGAWTTCCTTGTGTCATCAGAGGACAAAACCTGGAACTTCCGATATACTTTTTGTAACTTGAAATACATACTACAAACTCTTTTAAAACATATGAAAGAAGGTAAGGGTAATAATTCAATGACTAAGAAATACAGGTTCAGCGCTTCTTTTACTTCAAATTAGAAATGTTCGGRTTTTTTTTTAAGAAGCGAGGACAGTTTAAAAGCTACAGTTATGACAGTCATACTACATACAGTCCGGTTATCAGTGTTCGTCAGTCATTGCAGTTGTGAATCGGTTCATTGCTTCGARTCCAGCTTCCTAGAACTGATTGTTTTCATTTTAGATGTTTGATAATAATGTCCAGCAATGACAATTTTATGTTTTGATGTATTACTAATTTGCGAGGGAATAATCATTAACGATCTGATGAGAAAACTCTTTTCTGAACATCTCACCTTATTATAAATCGATAAAAATTAAACGTGTAGCACCGCAAAGATTGATCTATTTGTTAAACTAATTATAGATAAAACTTGAAATGCTATAAAGAATAATTGAAAATTGAGTTTTGCTTTGAACGTTTTGTTGTTGTTTTGTTTTTTTTGTAATTCCAAACTTTCATGACTAATAGTTTTTCAGGTTTTCACACTTCCTTGAGAAACCGGAAGTATACGGCTGTGTCTGTTTTTATCGCGTGCATTGTTCGGAGCGCGCGCTTCAGCTTGTTTCACTTTGGCTTAGTGTTTGATAATAGCATAGTTTGACTGTGATAATAGTAACTCTGAAGCTAGAACTACTGGTAAATCTGACCGTAGGAAACTGAATATTAAGGTGATATTAAGGTAAAATCAATTTCTCATGATTATACATATATGGTACTTACAATAATTAATATGCATACGCTGGCAAAACAGAGTGAACTCTCGGCAAAAGAATCATTACTTACGTTAAACACTGAGAAAACAAATCTAAACTCAAAAGCATATATATCATATTCATAGATGAAAGAAGTCATATAAAGTGTGTCTCCATCTTTAATGAGTTAAGAAGAAATAATTCAATACTAAAAGTTGACTCCAAGCTCACTAGCTTGTGAAGGTAGCTGAGGACCTAAAGGAACCACTAGACTATGAAATGTATCTCTAAAGTTTCGGAAACGAAACTCTCTTTCGTGAATCGACTTAATGTTAATCCATATATGACAAGGACAATCATGATATATATCGACATGTTATTTGTGCAAATGCATTGCTATCACTTCATATAATTACATAACCATGCGTGTTTTAAGTGGATACGGAAGTGYCATGGTAAATAATGATAATAATAGCACGCATTTTACAAATCAAAAGATTTAATTCATCGAACATAATCACTGAACCAGATACACACGGAAAGTGTTATCCAGACTAGAGTATGTTGTCACGATGATTTTACTAATGGAGAKTACTCCGCAAAACCATACAAAAGCCATGTTATTTTGGAAAATCAAACTAGTTTCACTAGAGATCTGTACTTAACCACTTTGAAAATAGGAAAACTTAACGGCACACAATGAAATGGAAACTGCCTTATTCTATTTTTTTATATATAGTTGGTATAGAAGAAAATAACAATTGTATCTTGATTTCATAGCGGTGTTTCCTTTTAGGTATCCAAAAATCCTTAAAGAAACAAAAATACAGCAAAAAGAGCAAGTTCAAGGTACTTACAAACAAACTATCATCACAAGATAGAACGTAAACAACCTCCTGCCATCTGATTGGTAAACAGCAAACTCTCCATCAAAACAAGAGCCATTTTCCCGCCATAATATGTCACGTGATGGGTGACTTTCCTGATTGGATAATWACTGTTATACCTGTATCTGTTGTATTTATCCTCGCTGTTATCTGTGCAATATGTTTCTGTACTCGGGCGTGCTGGCGATGCAAGTCTCGGGSCCGTCCACAAACGGCACCACAGAACACCGATGGTCCGATACATGACCCGGGGATTTATAACGAATCGTTTACTACCRGTCAACCAGTATTTACTATACCGGGCTCTGCCTTTATGCCGTATAATAGCGGTGAGTAGTTTGTACTGATATAGTTTGTTTTGTGAACTTCTGTATGCCAGCCTTTCGTTTTTTACTATACGTTAATACAGCAGCCATCTTGTAGGAACTTCAAGAAAKGATTTCTCTGAAGTATACATTGTTCATTCCTACAGCGTGGTCACCGGTCTTTTATCTTTTCAATCTCATGGGAATGATTGAAAACGATTAATTCTGCAATGCAGAAAAGTATTACCATCAAAACAGACTCTCTACGTAGGATTCAAATTTAAAAAAACTTAGAGATTYGTCTACGTAAATAAAGTCATTTGTATATATTACCCGATGATTGATCGATTGATCCAATAGTTCGGAAAATAATATCCTTTTATTTACGGAGACGAATCTCTTATTTTTTTGAAGAAAGATGTTGTTGCACTCGTACAATTTTGGCAGCCTGTCGTTGCGACTACTGTAAGCGAGTTGCTGAAAATTGCTCTTAGTGTACCAGGGGTCTCAACAAAAGATACTGCAATGGACATCAATTATTTTGCATTTCCTCCGAGTGGAGACTAACCTTGTCCTATATTAATTACAAAAAAGTATTTTATTTCTTTTGTCGTTGGTCAAGGTTGTCTTCTCGCGGTTTTTACTTTTAGTGACCTGCCAAAAGGTTGGTCAAGGTTGTCTTCTCGCGGTTTTTACTTTTGACCTGCCAAAAGGCATATCAATTAACAATCCATGAATCAAAAACAAGTACGCGATCCTTCTAATTAACCTAGCAGTGGCGGATCCAAGGGGATTCCATGGGTTCCTTGGAACCTCCCTCAAGCATAAAAAAAATAGAATAAATGGTAAATGAATTAAAATGAAAACGCATCGTACAATGAACTTTTATTCAATACATTCACACTACATTTGCTACAGTTCGAGAGGCACAGTAAAAAAGTTCGTTTTAGGAAAATGCGAAAACAAAGTGGATCCCCCTTTGAAAAATCCTGGATCCGCCACTGACTAGTATCTATGCTATGTCAATGTGCGCTATGTGCATGTTACGATGTTAGGGAATCATCGGAAGACGGGTTATATGTACGAATTACATTTATCATATAATTATCTATACCTAAATTCATCACA